TTAAGGCCGAAGGCCGGAAGGTGGGGGGAGGAAATTTCCCAAGCCGTCGGCCCGAAAAACCTTCCGTGTGGAATGCCCTGGCGGGGGGCCCCGGCCCCCCCCCCCTTTTGCCTTTCCTTCCTGGGGGGGCGCTTTTTCCAGACCACTTAGTTTTCCCAAACCCCCCAATTTCTTTTTCATCAGAAACTTTCCTAGTGTCTCCATGTGGGCCCTTGGAAACTCCTGCTTAGAATTGCACCCCCCTCGGGAGAATCCCCCCCCGCCTCAAGCCGGGGGGCGGGGCGAAGCTCCCCCCGGTCTCTCCCCGAGCCCCGGAGCCGGCTCCTGGCTGGGCCCCTGCCGCCCTTCCGCTGGGGCCTGGCTCACGATACAGCCATTGTGGCCAGGCCTCCTGCACCTCCGCCCTCGTGGGGCGGCCCTCGGGGCAGGGCTGGGTCGGCTCCACTTTTCTGGGCTCCTGAGTCCCCGCGAGGTCAGTCAGTCGTTTCAGTCCGGCTCTTGAGGTCCCCACCCCACTTTGATGTTCAGCCACTCACCCCTCCTGCTGGTACCCCTCCCGTCCAGTGCCCCAAGTCCCTCCTCTCCTCCCTCTGCCACTGCCCTAGGACCTAGGGCCTAGGTCAAGCTCTGATCTGTGACCTCGCCCCTTGCACGGGAACAAGAAACTCAAACTTAGGTCCAGCGCTTTGATTCCCCTTCTCTCACGCCCTTTCTCCCTCTGTACGGCACAGTCCAGGGGCCTGGAGGTCCTGCAAGCTCTACGTCCAAAGGACTGAGTAGCAGAATGAGTCCCTTTTTCTTCATCTCCAGGCCTAAAACCCAGCCCCCGTCGCGATCATCTCCCTCCTGAACTTCCAGAATGCCTTCTAGCTGTACCCCCGTGTGGCCTATTGGCTCCTTGATTATTCTCACAGCAACTAGAGTCATCTTTGTGACACAGATCATGTCATATCCCTGCTTAAAATCTAGTTCAGTCCAATTTGAAAGTGGGCAAAGGACAGGAATCGACATCTCACTGGTGTCACAGATGGCATAAAGGCACATGGAAAGATGTTCAACACTATTAGCCATTAGGGAAATGCAAACTAAACCAGAAGTAGACATCACTACACACCGACCGGGATGGCTAAATCAGACAGTGATAATACCAAGTGCTGGGAAGTATATAGAGAAACCGAGTTTCTCATAGATTCCTGATGGGAATGTGAAATGGTATAGCCACTCAGTAGGACAGTTTCTAACAAAACTGAACATGACCTTACGTGAACATCAAGCTTTAAACTGCAAGGTCTCAGCTCAAAAGTCACCTCCTCCGTGAGGCCTTCCCTGACCACCCCACCCAAAATAGCCATCCCCAATCACCTGTCCACCATTAGATTACATTAGAGACTTCTCACCACCTGAAATTATTTATTGGTTAACTTGTTTATTACCTGTCCCCCTTTACCCTTCTGTGGCCCCAAAACTTGAATCAAAGCTCCAGAGATCAGGAACCTTGTTTTTTGTGTCCCCAGCACCTAGCACAGTGCCTGAGAAATACACATCTG